ATTGTGGACATTTTTGAATGTTTAAAGCAGTTTATTGACAAGAGGAAATTTCAGGTTAGTGGATGTGTGAAAATTTGTGTCCTGAAACACATTTTGTCACTGAAATCTGATAATTACTTTCCTGGTCTATAAAGAGAAAATCCTCAATGCATTAGAGACATAGTTGTATTTGTTTCAAATCGAACTGCTAGCATAGTTGGTTGAGGCACTAAGCTACAAGCTGGAAGGTCACGATTTCCATTCCCAATAAGGTCACTGGATTTTTTAATTGACATAGCAACTCGCTACAGGCTGGATGACAAGGGTCAGAGTTCGAGTCCCAGTAGGATTAAGAATTTTCACTTGTCTAGACTGGCTTCAGGATCCACCCAATCTCCTATTTAATGGGTATTGGGGGCTCCTTCCACTGGGGTAAAACGGCCGAGGTGTGAAACTGACCACTCACCTCCCAACTAGTGCCAAGGTCAAGAAAACGTGGGTCTATATATCCACTCCGCCATATGTCCTCACAGCATAGTGCTTACTTACACAGGGACAACTTTACCTTTTACCTAATCCTTCCAGCTGCACTATGGCTCTGGCGTCTACTCAGCCTCTACCAGAAATGAGTACCAGGGATATTCCGGGGGGTAAAGGGCGGCTGACGCGTAAGGCTGACACCTCATTGCCATATGTGAGCCGATTATCTAGAAATATATTTGAGCCTCGACTTATCACAACCCTATGGACCTCCACAGCCTGTTGCATGCATAACTTTACCTTTTATCTTTTCCTGCCAATATACTGTATGAAACTGACATTTTCAGTTACAAGACTGAGTACTGCGAATGTTCATGCTTCTTCTTCTTCTTCTTCTACCTTAACGGATTGGGCTGTTAAACCTGTTCCTATTTAGAATTAATTCTGAAATTGTGAATCTTGTAGACAGCCAGTAGAACTCTTTGGTCAGGGGACCAGCCTGACGCAGGGCTCTTACCTGCACAGGAAGAAATAAACACAGAAAAAAGCAAACATCCATGCCTCGAGTTGAGTTAATGGTACCTTCCGGCTAAAACTTTTTCTGAATTATAAAATAATGTCTAATAATGGACTATTTGTTGAACATTTTACATTCTGTACCAAATTGGCTATATGTCACAGAAATTGTAATGACACTCCACATATTTGAATACTGTTATGTGTCATTAGTTGTAACACAAAATAGCTGTAAAAGTAAAGTAAAGGTATCCCTGAAACAGGCCATGGAGGCCCATAGGGTTGTGAGATGTTGAAGTTCCCACTTTTCCTAGACAATCGGCTCACAGATGGCGGTGAGGTTGTCTGCCTTACGCACCGACCACCCTTTACCCCCAAGAACATTCTAAAAAATATTCCTGGTATTCTAAATATTAACCCTTTAGAGTCAAGCAGTAACTTACCTTGTGTATGCAGCTACTGCTGACAACGAAGAGCAATTCATCGCAGTGCGGATGCCTGTCAGGCCATCCATGCCCCGCCATCTGTGAACGGATGCGGCGGTCCATAATGAGACGTGTCGAGGCGTGCATTGAATCTCATGGAGATTTGCTTTGGGAGACTGAGGAAAGCCAGGAAAATCTCAAGTAGGATAGTCGGTGTTTAGCTGTGCAGCTCTCATACACAAATCGGAAGTGTTTCAGCATGGGCCATCATTGTAGAGAAACATAAATTGTATGCGACATTTTAAGCCATTTAAATGTTAGCTGGAAGAATGATATTAAAATAGGAATTATGGATTACGAGGGTGAGAATTTGGCTGAACTGGTTCAAGATAGTGTTTTGAGTTTACGTTTCTATATCAACTGAACATATGTCAATGCTCAAGAAGCATTTCTTTTTCGCTTGGCGTAAAGAAGGCCTAAAATCGCCAGGTTCGATAGGAATAAGGGAGAACATTTGGCATTAGTATTTATATTTGGAAGCATACTGTAGGCTGCTTTACTTGATACAAATCTTTACAGCCAGACAATTTCTGTAGATGATATATCATTGTTAAAAATATGATCAACTGACGTTAGAGTAGTGATATGTATCGAGTGTGGAAAGTCAACATCAGAATGCATAGCCAACACCGTGAAGTAACTACTTTACACGATGTCGCTATAATATCCTAAAGGGTCTTACAGTAGCCGTAGGAATCAAGACTAAATTGTCAGTACAGTTAAAATAAGTTGTGTGTGGCTACTGTAAAACTCTTTATGATGCTATACTAGTGACAACACAGCTTATTTTAATTGTATTAACAATTTAGTTTTGATTTCTATGGCTACTGTTAAGTTCATTTAGTGACAACTTTTGTTAAATTATCCGATCCCAGTGGTCTCGTAGTCTAAGGCATGAACTGTCTTCGCCCACTGGAACACTGGGATCGTAGGTTCGAAATTCAATCGAGTCATGGATGTCTGCGTTTATTCTGTAATTGTGTTGTTCTGTGTGTAGGTAGCGGCCTTGTGACAGGGCTCATTACTCGTCCAAGGGGTCCTTCCGACTGTCTATAAGATGAAGAAACTGAAGTAAAACGAAGCGTTTCACGTGTGTTCTGTGTTCCAGAGGGAGCAACAGGGATATTAATCAATGATAAATATGTTAAATTAACATACGCAAAGTAGTTCCTTTATAGTTTTGGCTGCACCTTCTGGTGTTTGATAGTAATGGCCGAAATACGTAATCAGAACTTGTATTTACGTTTATTAAACTACTTACACATTATGGACTTCTGCCACTCACTTATATATTAAGATTTGTAAGGATTCAAGGCATTTCTTATCAAGATATAATGAAGGCCAAATAGTAAAGTAATTAACTAAATGGTGCATCCTTGCTAATCTGATTGTTACTCAGGTGACAAAAATAGTTCCCGCTTTTAAGGAACCGTGTTCACAGAAACCCATTGCTGGCTCTTGGGTCTCCGTTGTTTAATCACTGTGACAATGTGGAGTACCAGTTTCGGATCTCCTGAGTTTATAAATTTTTCCATCCTCTTGTTACTTCCCCTTCCTTAGGTGCAAATATTCCTCCCGGTCGCCCGTTCCACAGGATGTTTTCCCATGCGTGACCCAGCAGATAAAACAACAGGTAAAATTTGTCTAAGACCTGAAACTCTATGGAGAATTGTTTGGCTAAAACCTTCTCGGGCGACCAGCCATGTCAATGTTGAGTTGAAAATCAATGATTATGGAGAATGAGAAGATCTTTGGAACCTTATTTTTTAACTCAACATTGACACTGCTGGTTACTCGAGACTAGAATTATTTTGTAAAAATATCACGATTTATGTTTGAAATATTAAATTTGCAGTAAACATATTCTGATGAAGTATTTTAGCTGTGATGTCCAGCCTCGGACCACGGTATGGAAATACTAGATATCGACAGATCATAGCCATGTGTCTCATTCCTCAAAATGAGTGCCGGATTTTTTGTGATTCTTGTACTTGGAATCAGGGGAATTTTGGTAACTTCCGATCGTAAAAGTTTGTTGTTTTTATTTGGTGTTTTGACTCTATCCTGTCTCTCTCGACTGAAATCCCTCATTGACATCCTCAGTCCCTCCAGGCTAATGTGGAGATAGTACCGTGAAATAAGCCACGACCGCTTCCCTCCACATATTTTCAAAATAATCGTCTGTGCTGGATTCGAGCATCTCATATCAGTGACCACAAAGAATCTAATAATCTGAGATATGCATCTTTGTAGCCACGTGAAGTCAGCCGATGTTGGAGGCCTCCTCCCTACTTCATGCTGGTTTCTTGCTTGGCTCACTCTGCGGCCCTGATTCACTCATGGAGCTGAGTCCATCTTGAGAAGCCTCCAATTGTGCAGCCACTCAAGAACTTCCTAGCATTTTATGAAACCCTAAGTTTTATTATCGTGTCCACAAGAGCCCCCTACTGGTCCCTATCCTGAGCCAGATCAATCCAATCCATACCATCCCATTCTATCTCTCTAAGATCCATTTTAATATTGTCCACCTTGGTCTTCCCAGTAGTCTCTTTCCAGCTAGCTTTCCAACCAATATCCTATGTGCATTCCTCATCTCTCCCATTCGTGCTACATGCCCTGCCCTCCTCATCCTCCATGACTTGATCAATCTAATTATACTTGGAGAAGAGTACAAGTTATAAAGCTCCTCATTATGTATTTTTCTCCAACCTCCTGTCACTTCATCTCTCTTCCGTCCAAATATTCACCTCAACACCCTGTTCTCAAACACCCTCAGTCTATGTTCCGCCCTTAGTAATTCAGCCCTGAATACGCAAGGAAATATGTTCCTCCTAAACGTCAGTTCATTTTCCTCGTATTACATGGTGTCATAACCCGGAAGATAGAGCACTTCATAATCACTAATTATGTGTCACGTCATGAAGAAATATGGGGGAGTGGAGGTATAGCTCCACCATTCTTGGCCTTGGCATTAAATGGAGGTGGGTAGGCAGCTTCACACCCCGGTCACTTCCGGTTGAAAAGCCCCGGTACCCGTTGGATGGGGTGGGCCAGGTGGGCGCCAGAGTCGGTCTGGGCGGAGTGTAGTAAAGAAAAATCTCTTGCCATTGCCGGGAATCGAACCCCGGGCGTCCATCCCGTAACCTCTCGCTATACCGAGGATACCGATATTTCGGAGTGACCATCTTTGGGCCAATCCTCCGAAACGTTGGTGCCTTCTGCCAAAATACACGGTGTCACATCTCAGAAGACCTTAGTCTTCGTAAACGTAATTCCATGTATTTTAACCTTCCACTTCATAAGCATAAGTATGGTAAATAACGTCGAAAAGAACAAATGAATTACTTCATTTGTCGCAAATTTACTTTCTGTTTTATAAATTGGACAAGAAATATTACAAAACTTTTTGGATCGTTTTGTAGATCGCCACTTCCGTATTTCAGTAACCGCGCATTTGTCTGCACACATCACGCAAACTGATTCATGTGTTTCGCGCTTAGGTCGCTAGGAGAAGTCCGGTCAGTCGAGCTGAGACAGCCTTCGGTTTAGGTTGGAAGTGTGTTGTGGTTACATTGACGATGTCTGTTGCCTTCCGTAGGCGCGTGGGGAAACCAGGTGCAGCCGGTTTATTACGGCGTGTTTAGCATGCGTTGTTTTTACTCTTCATTGTTTACTAGTGCGTGGACGAGAAAGTGTATTATGTGTATGTGTCACGTGTAATGGATAAGTAAGTCCATACAGCAACAATGATTCTACATGGTGAGTCAAATACGAGTGTTCATCACCTGAGCGCTCTGTATTGATGTACTATTTCTTAGAGGTTATATCTTTTTCATAAAGTTTACTGTACTTGCTTCATTACGTGTTGCCTAATTGCAGTGCCTTTAAATTTACAATACCTCAGTTTTGATATGAATTATCCATGTAGCGTTGCAGTGTTTAACATATGCATCTAGGGGAGCATCCATTATTACCACCAACGCAATGATTCGTTTATGATTGTAGCTGTACGAATGAAACTTTAGCCCAGACCGTCAGCGAGAAATATTCAGGGAAAGGTTTTTGTTGCTGTTTTTTTACATCCCTGTGTGAGCCAACATGCATAGCGTCGTGTGTTGTGACGTGCTTCTGAGACCGGGGGTTGTTTGCCTCCACCTGCCTGGCAGTGTCTGTAAGCCACCAGTTTGCAAGCAGATGTTTTTGTACACAGCACACGGCTTAAGAAACGAGACCCGCTGCTGTTACTGGATGCTCAATTCTGTTGAATTTCTTCTGAATAATATTTAAATATTAAGTTCTATCCTCACGTTGACACACTGCTTCTATATTGTAAATGTTGTGGTAATACTGTATGGGGAATATTCCTTGTTCGTTCAGAGAATCATACGGATCGCTTAAATACTCTCTGTGAGCAATATGCAGTTCTTTTTAATGGTAAAGTAAGCGGTGTATGCTTTAAGGCGTTAGACTATTAAATGCCAGTCGTAGGCACGGTACTGCTCATGGTTACGTTCACTGACTTTTCAGTTAGGAGATGGGAGTTCAGAATATGAAACATTCAGCTGCTCGCTCAGTATTTTCAACAAACATTCCGATAACGACAAATTTTTATGGAATGTCATGGAAGCATAAACTTTAGTACTAAGTATAATAAGGAGTAGAGGGGTAATATTTCCTCTGTCACAGGAGAACATGTCTAGGTGTTCGCTTGGATTTAAATTAAACGCGTGAGTTCAAAACGATGTGCCTGAAAGTACACCCCGTCTCATGCTTTTTGATCATTCTTGATGCAGCCATTAGCAGCAGCAAGTTACGCAGTATTATTTACCGTTCGTTATAAATATATTTAAGCATTAAATTGTCTATTTATCGATTTATAAGCATACTGAAAATAGTTATTCTGCCGAGAGCATGTTCTCAGCGATGTATTAACGTTTCCGTTACTAGATTGGATGCTTCTAAGAGGCAGTGATTACCATTGATAACTGAAGCAATACCTAAAGCAGCTTATTCACAGGGCGGTGCCTACCCTTCCTGGCTCTGATGGCCGTCTGTACCCTTGCCACGATAATCGATGCTCCGTTACCAACCCCGCCTTGCCCTTCCCCGTTACCAGCTTGATGTGACGTCATGCGTCGGTCGGGTGCCGCATGCAGACCTTGCGAAGCCCCCGGTGCTGTAAGGGTGGGGCCGGCGGCCGGTCTCCAGTGTTTTGCTGAATCTAGAAGAGCTTTATTGTGTTTAAATTGATCCCACACTGTAGCAGGCCGAAAGCATATATGCTTCATCCCAGGACTCGAATGTAATTTCTTTCTACTGCCTGTTGTAGAACGGTTTAAAATTGTTGCTATCAGGGATACAGCGTTATATAGTTTGTGCTATGAGACAACGCGTTGCTTCGTAATGTTTGTTCCTATCTACGAAATCGCACGGCGTCGCATGCCAGAAGAAAGTAACATTCACAGTCATCACCGGCGTCACAATGATCTTACATGTATTACAGTTGATTCATCATTTGAAAGGAAGCCGAAGCAACGACTCTTGGTTACGTAGGAAATAAACTAAATCGTGTTAGAGAGATAGGATGGTATTGACTGGATTGATCTGGCTCAGGATAGGGACCAGCGCAGGGCTCTTGTGAACACGGTAATGAACCTTCGCGTTTCATAAAATGTTGGGAAACTTTTGAGTAGATGTGCAACGAGCGGCCTCTCAAGAACTGGTGGAGTTAGTTTCGTTAACTAAATCTATAAAAAAGTAAAGCTATCCCTGTAACTGGCCATGGAGGCCCATACGCTTGTGAGACGTCGAGGCTTCAACATTTTCTTTAGACAGTCGGATCACAGATGGCGGTGAGGTTGTCAGTCTTACGCGCCGGCCGAAATTTTCCCTCCGCGAAGATTCCTGGTGGTCATTTCTGTTAGAGGCTGAGTCGACCCCAGGACCCTAGTGCGGCTGGAAGCAGTAGGTAGATTTAAACAAAAATCCACCTCTTCCGGACTTGAACCTGCGACCTTCCGGCTTGTAGCATAGCCCCATAACTATATCGATAGCCTGTAGAATGTACATGAAGGCCTCTTAGGGACATCAAACCCAGCATTTTCGTCAGATCATCAATATCTGCGGCCGTAGGCTATCTAGGTGCTGTTTACTTACTTACTTACTTACTTACTTATGGAGGTGAGCCCTTCTTGAGGAGAAGCCAAATCTGCAGCTACTCAAGAATTTCTCAGCGTTTTATGGAACCCGATGGTTCATTACAGTGTTCACAAGAGCCCTCCACTGGTCCCAATCTTGATCCGGATCAATCCAATCCATACCATCCCATCTTATCTCTCTAAGATCCATTTTAATATTGTCCACCCACCTACACCTTGGTCTTCCCAGTGGTCTCTTTCCTTCTGGCTTTCCCACCAGTATCCTATATGCCTTCCTCTTCTCCCCCATTCGTTATGCTGTTTACTAGAAAGTAAGAGTTTGTAAAGGACTGTATAATTCAGACTTTATTATTAATAGTGTAATCACATCGTCACAATCTGTTTTCCAAAACGTCACAGAGGGTGCGTCATCATGGAATTATGACCTAGAGCATTACGTCATCATTAGAAAGTCACTAGTTCTCGTGTATTTTAAACATACCGTACATTTCGCCAACGTACATGAACTCTCTATGTCGCAAAGTTGCCTGCTCAAGATATGACTGTCCTCAAAGATGGTGTAGGGCCGTGTTCTGATCGTCACAATCATAAAATGCATTATTTGCGCAGTACTTCATTCTGGAGTTACTCCCTTTGTTTAAAGGAACCCGTTGGCACAGACGGTATGGCGATTGGCTACCGGCTGGACGGCCGAGGGGTCGTAGTTCGAGTCCCGGTAGTGGCAAGATTTTTCTCCTCACCACATCATCCAGACCTGTTCTGTGGCTCACCCTGCATCCTATCCGATGGGTACCGGGGGCTCTTCCCCACGGGGTAACGCGCCATGGCCGTGAAGTCGACCACTCACCTCCAACTAGCGCCGAGGTCAAGAATACGTGGACATTTCCGCACGCCTGATAAGTGTAGAATAAGGAAGCAGAAGGAGAGCAGCAGAACAGGATAGACAGAAACGTAAGAAATGAACAGATGAGACAAGGAATACTCTAGCTCAGGGTTGCTCACACAGTCAGAGCAGTCCCGCTTCTGTGCACAGAGTTTGCGGTTTGCAGGGGACACTCGACCTGGTGAAACCGACGACAGGTAGCAAGGTCAACAGGCAGGAAGCCGAATGTGTTCAATAGGAAGCGGCTGCCGGCTGCCGGCTGACGCTGTGTGTATGTGTCAGCGGAACATGTCAGGGCCACTCGGCATCAGTTGAAAACGAATCTTATCGGTAATGAACTCCGTTGTCAGGAAAACAACGTTGAAAATCCGTATATCTGACCTCACCAGGTTGTGACACCACTTGTAGCCTTCTTTTCTTGTTTCAGAAAAATAAAATTAAGCTTATAAGATCACCTTGCCGTCTGTGTTGTTTCTTTATGTGTATCCCGTCCCAAATAACTTCAGAACGTCAGAACCGATCTTTATGAAACTTGGAGTTGATATTATGCCACATTGAGGCCATCTCAGCAGCATATTTCATAATATGACTTGATCATTCTAATTATACTTGGAGAAGAGTACAAGTTATGAAGCTCCTCATTATGCAGTTTTTTTCCAACCTCCTGTCACTTCATCCCTTTTAGGTCCAAATATTCTCCTCGGCGCCCTGTTCTCAAACACCCTCAGTCTGTGTTCCTCCTTTAATATTAGAGACCAAATTTCCTACCCAAATAGAACCGCAGGCAAAATTATAGTTTTGTATATTTGTATGTATATGTTCTTAGACAACAGATGAGAAGACAAAAGGTTCTGAACTGAATGGTAGCAAGCATTACCTGAGTTAAGTCTCTTAATTTCCTCTTGAATCGGGTTTTGATTTGTTATTGTCGTTCGCAAATATCTGAACTGTGCCACATTTTCAAAACATCTGTTTCCTGTCTTTATGTCCTGATTTTGCCCTGCATTTTGGTGACAAGACAGTAACATATACTTAGTTTTCTCTGTGTTTGCTTCTAGACCAATTTCCTTACTAGGGTCAGTTAAAGTCTGTGTGTTTGTCTTTGTGGTATCTACATTATCACCCAGTAGATTCACATCATCGGCATAGGCCAACAGCTGATGTGTCCCATTTAATTTCAGCCCCACGTGGCTTTCCTGGACCTTCCTAATTGCATATTCTAAAGCAAAGTTGAAAAGGAGTGGCGGTAAAGCATCTCCTTGTTTTAGACCATTCTGGATAGGAAATTTATCAGACAAATATTTACCTACACGGACTTTACTATACGTTTCGTTTAAACACATTTGAATCAGCCTAACTAGTTTCATGGGTATCCCAAACTCTATTAGAATATTGTACAACACTTCCCTCCTAACTGAATCATAGGCTTTTTTGAAGTCTATGAATAGCTGATGTACTGTCTCATTGTACTCCCATTTTTTTCCTCAGTATCTGACAAATGCAAAAGATCTGATCTGTAGTTGATCTGTTACGTCGAAACCCACCCTGATGATCCCCAATAATTTCATCTATATATGGACTTAACCTTGAGAGAAGAATATTGAACAAAATTTTGTATGAAGTTGATAGCAGTTGATAATTACTACAGTCAGTTTTAGGTCATTTGAAAATATACACGTAATATAATATAATCTTCCTCCCGCTCTGCTAACTTTTTC